CGTACAATTCCTTGCTGTCTAATAGTGAGCTTGTTGTTCCAAGCAGTGTTGCTAAAGATGTATTGCACAACATAATTCAGCTATAGACAAGGGTGCGTTCTTTCTCATTTGCAAAGGACATCATACAAAAACACAAAGTTGAGGCAAAACAGCTGAAATCCAAGGCATTGTGCCAAGAAATAAATAGAGCTTCTAAAGCTATTGATCAGAACCAGGGTTAACACTGTCAGGACAGACTAAGCTATTAACCCTGGTAAGCTTTATTTTAAATTCAATAAGTATATTAACATTTACTGTTTGCTACTTGTCTGTGCATATTTCAAGACTACATAGTTCAAAGGCTATGAAAACAACCGATAAGTTCTTCATATTGTTTATGGAAAACACATTATAATAAAATATTCCAGCGCTGAGAAACAGTAGCTACATTTTTCTGGGTGAACACTTTCAAGAGTGATTTTATAAAACCGTGAAAAAATATTATAGCAGTGTAATAATTAGACTGATAATGTATTGAGAATAGGTTACAAATATACTGTGTTTAATACCACCTTTGATTTCACAGGTCTTTGAAAACCTTTTTAATTACACTGATCTTTTGGCTGATCTTTTAAGCACTGGTTCATCACTTACATTTACCCAGGCTTTTCTTTTATCTTTCCTACCAGGCGTGTTTCCACTTTGACATGAAACTGATCTCTGAATGCGGATAGTATTATTATTATAGCCGAGTGACCTAATATTTGGATTGTCGTTTCGTCTCCCTAATTTCCTTTGGTTTCCAAAGTATTCCTCCAAGCTGTCTTGGCAAAACCTTTCTGTGATCACATACTGCATACCCTCGCCATGGAGAAACCTATAAATACAAATATATGTAAATAGCGCTTCTTTCTATTTTGTATCAAATTTGGTTGATATCATCACAGGGGATGCAACACTGTCAAACTTCTCAGTGTAAAGAGTGGTTTGTAAAAATGAATGAAATAATATACTGATACATAACAAAATCAAAGTATTTATTTTGCAAATCACTCTGCTGGACAGCTTCTGTCCATTTTAAGTCATATTTGATTGATAATATCATCACGGGGGATGCAATAAAGTCAAGCTTCTTAGAATGAAGAGTGGTTTGCAAAAATCAATGAAATAATATACTGATACATATCTAAAGCAATGTAATGATTTTGCAAACCACTCTATGCTGGACAGCTTCGGTCCATTTTGCATCATATATGATTGATAATATCATCACAGGGAATACAATAATGATTGAAATAATATACTGATACATATCAAAATCAATGTATTGATTTTGCAAATCCCTCTGCTGGACAGCTTCTGTTCATTTTATATGATATTTGATTGATACTAACGGTAGTCCACTTGCCACAGACTAGTAGAAATTCATTTTTCGGCTAGTGGTTTTCAATTTACACTAGTCAGTTTGGTTAGTAAACTGACTGAAATTGTCTGAACATCTAAAATCATCTGAGATGTCACCAGCCACTTGGCTAGTAAGTTGAAAAGTTAATGTCAAGCCCTGATAAATATATGCTTTTACTGATCGTCATTTGTTATGATATTGCAGTTTAAAGGTAAAAAGGAGCTAAATACTTACATATTTCTATGTCCTCAGGCTTGAAATGCTTTTCACAAGTGTATAACTTGTCATTACTGATTTGGTTTTGAAAGTTCTTGTCGACAACTCGGTATTTTTTTTAGCTCGTTGAGCCAACGTTCCCGCCATTTTCGGTAGCCTTCGCTTTTAGCTGTAGGCAGCTTTCAGATGCCAATTCCTTTCGAAAGGCGGCATGAGCCACATCCTACAACAGAGCAATTGTCTCCTGGCATTTCACTTTTTAGGATTCTCGATAATTCGATCTGAATTTAGCGCTATTGGCTTCATAAAAGACAGTTTTACACGACTGACATGACTATCGACCATCATGGAAAGACGCCATCTTGATTTCTTGTGTGCACGGTCGTGTGACGTCACGAGCGATAAACTTGAACAAAGAGTTACCTTCTTTAAGTTCGCCGACCTTCCTAACCAGTCCCCTCTACTAACTATGATCTCACTGCAAGAATTGCTTTTGTACTTGTATATAAAATATGACGATAAATATTAATATTGCTCTATATTATCAATAACAGGACAGATGCACGAAAAAGTGATGTTTGCAATAACAAATTGTCAAATTGCCTGCTCT